TTTTCCTCAAACTTCCACGCTCGAAGCATCATTCGGCCAGAGCAGACTCGACTTCGCCACACAGGGAAAGGACTTCGTCGCAAAACTCAGGCGCCAAAGCTTTGACATTCGGCAGGGTCTCTTTCATCACAGTCATTTCTTGTCTATAGGCCATTCGTTGGTAGGGATTCATCTGGCTGAAAGCACCCCATCCTGGAAGATGGCGAGGCACTGCCATCGAAGACGGATTGATATCCAATCCATCCAAGCCCTGCGTGTTCACCTGGGCAATGGTGATGATTGTCCAAAGCTTGGCCAAGCACTCGGTGGTGGGACGAAAACCCACGATGCTACAGACATTTCTGCAGCCTTCTCGGCATGCTTCTAGTTTGTCTTGATGCTCAGCGTCCCAAGTCTTCATCTCAAAGGCCAACTGCGCAGCGACCAGAAGCAAAGCCTCCATGAAGCTCAAACACTGAGCGAATCACGGAGTTTGAAGCCTAAACCGCTATTGTGAGTCGTGAGGTCAAGTTCAAAAGAAAAACATGAAGCGGGCACACCGCTGGAAGAGGCTCAAGCATTCAGCAACCTTGCAGCGATTACACCACTTTTGCAACAAACCGACAACCTTAAGTATATTTACTTACAGCGGACACACCGCTGACATGTTCACAGCTGCGACGCTGCAAACAATTTTGTCAACGTAGGCAAATGATGTACTCTTTGCATTCAGTGTAGCGATGCCAACTAGGGATCTGTGGGGCCAAGGTGGTTGACACCTTCCATGTGATCACAGCGTCTGAGATCCGCCATCTGGTGCCCCATCTGCGCTCTTCTACCTGTGGGCGTGGGGCTTTGAGGTTGATAACTTTGGTATGAACAAACAAACCATTAACCAAAAATATCTCTAGATGATCGCATCCCAGTTGCGAAGTCCAGTTTCTTGCATCGCACATAAAGGCCGTCGTAGCTTGAGCAAAACCATTGCACGATAATTCCACCATATTTGCGCCAGATGATGATGTCGCCAGGGCCCAAGGAAGTGGCAACCAAATAGCAGCCTGACAAATTCAAGAAGGGGCGAGAACAAAACAAGACTAAGGAGACAGCGGGCACACCGCTCCTCCAACCACGAATATAGATTAGGGAATCAAGACCAGCGGGCACACCGCTTCTCCAAACATGACAAAGAAAAACACATCTGGTGATTCCAAGGAGCGTTTGCTTGTTTTGAGCTCTGTTGTTGCAAAGCTAATCTTGTCATCCATGGATGCTTCCTCGATGGGTGGCAGAAGCTCCCAAAAAGGTAGGCCAGTTCTTCGAATCAAGTCGTGGCAGGTCTGCAACATCCGTGGAAGGATCGCAGTGCTGAATGCCCCATGGTCATGAATCAGCGATCTCTGTCTGTCCCCCAAACCACCTTTGTACAAAGAGTGTTTGTGTTCCAAAGCTTCGCAAGACACGATCACCTTTGCCCGGAGATATTGTGAATCCAAATGGAGCCGGCGGTGATGTTTGGGTTTGTATTCCATGCCGTACGCCTTTCCAAAGCGCTCTTGGTGGAGTTGTTGCAATTTGGACAGATGCGTCATGGATACCTCATCCACCGCGTGACCCAAACCATGTTGGACTTGCTTGACAAAGTCAACGATGTCGCAGAGGGTCCTGAAAGACTTGATCATTGGCTCTGGTACCCAGCCGCCAGGAACCATCATGGTTTCCATGTAGAATCTGACCAAAGGCAACGCTGCATCAGTCTCATTGGCTTGGCCCTTGTAGGTTTCATCTCCAAACATGAAGTCGGCAAAGAGGCGTTCCAAGTAGCGTGCATTCCTGCCACTAGAGCGAGTGGCTTTCCAAGCTGCAGCCACAACCGCACCCTGAAGGATTTCTCTGGTGACCTCTGTCAGGCTGAAGATGTTGGTCAGAAAGAGATGTATTTCTCTGCTAGCACAGCCGTTGTGCAGATAAGTATGCATGAAATCATACATGATCCGGCTTGGCGGCATCTTCAGTCGTTCAGACGGGTCAAAGAGGAGGGTGTCAGGACTGCATGTCACTCCACAACAGCGTTCCTTCATCTCCCGATCTTTCTTGCTCATTGGTTGAAGCAAGGAATCGCAGAGGCGGAATATATCTGAATCAGAAGCAAGGTCGAAACCATTGGCCGCTGAGATTTCTTTGAAGTCCTCGTCAATTTCCACCACTCCGCTGGCAGCTTTTACCACGTTACGGCAAAAGACACATGGTCGTAGTCCCGCTGAGCCTTTTAGGCTGAATACCGCCCTTACTGCGTCGTGGTCTCCTAGAAACCACGCTTCTTGATTCTGCCGGAAGAAAATGCCATCATTCAATGGAAAACCTTCGACATTCGCGGCAGAGACATTCTGACGCAGGATCGCCAACATGATGGCAGATGCACCACCTCTAAGCTTATTCAGGCAGGTGGACTGTACCAGGGCAACAGGCAACCACGCATGTTGATTTTTCAACAAGTGCCAAAGCTCCAGCCAACTCAAGTTGTATATCATTGCTTTTCGTGACTTATTGGCTGCAAGCACGTTCCCAGCTGTACACTCATCTGCGAAGATGATCGGCGTGACCATGCCTGTCTGGCTGAGCCCCTTTTTCAAAGCATTGGCAAAGGCAGCAGTGTCAGGGTCAGTGCAAAATGCCTTCAGAGCCTCTTGAAGATTGAGGATGGGTATGTCCACCGTAGATCCATCCAACAAAGAGAACGTGGTAGGAACTAAGCACCGTTTCCAGCGCTCCAACTGCAGATGCACTTGGGGCATGAAGCCGCCCCGTCTCATGGGGGCTTCATCATCTTTCACAATGTTCCAAATCTCAAGAACGGCCCGTTCAGAGGCCCCTGGAACCCGAATGGCCTTGTGTAAGCGCTCTTGATCCTCCCCCGTCAAGCGGCGCTTGCCCATGCCTACGTAGAAATTGTATTAAGGATGAAATGTTCGAAGCGCATCCAACTTGAAATGATAACCATGAGCCTGCTTGTCTTTAGTTCTTTGTGAGTAAGTCTCATATAGGGGTACATGCATATTTGAAAGACATGGCCTGGTGCTCCTTGAAGTGTGCCGGATTGTCAAGGGTGAAAAGAAATCAAGTAAGCGGGCACACCGCTATACCAACAGCGGGCACACCGCTAGACACACGCATTGAAAACCTGGAGCCGGCGCACCGCTGACAAAAGGAACCCTGATACGGACAGAACCCAAGCATCCAAGTATAAGGGCAGCGGACACACAGCTTGACTGCACGCATGGTTGTTTTTCACCCCATAGCAGCAGCCCGCGTTGTATCCAACGCAGGGTCCATGTTCAAATTTCCATCCAGGGTTGGGCACGGATGGACCCCAGGCCAGATCACGGTGTGACACTGGCTTCACTGCTTGGACTTCGCCTTCGCCTTCGACTTCGCTTTGGCCTTTGAAGCTGGGGCATTTGCGGCCTTGGCAGCTCTCTTAGCTTGGGCCTGCTGACTGAAGGCCCATTTGGCATCCTTCACAACTTCCTGAGCAGCCTTGATGCTCTTGCTCAACTCATCCTCGGCCTGCTCCAAAGCTCTGGGCGGTCCCGCAGATTTATCCGCATCCGTTGCGCTGAGCAACTGGGTGGCACCTCAAGAGGGTAGAGTGGTATATGACAGAGAGACCGTGATGACGTGTTCCGTTTACCTGAAACAAATGTTCAGATACAAATAAATACAAAATCTTAACTTTGATGACCCACATTTCAATATAGATATATACAGACAGATATACATATTAAATAGCTGCAAGGGGACAAGCGGGCCACACCGCTATACATAAACACGATGGCAAGGCGCGAGACTTGAGCTCACAGAGCTTGACACCGCCTTCCTTCAAACCATCTTGAACTTCGCCAGTGAGCAAGTCCGGGTTCTTGGAGCTCTTGTCAAGCAAAGCGGCCACGGTCAAGGACAGGGAATTCAGCTGGGCCATGGACTTGGCAGCCTTGCCAACTTCTTGCTTCCATTTGGAAGCCAACTGGCGCGCTTCCTTTCTGGCAGCACCGGCATCATCGTTCTTGCCTTGCTTGGGGACCTTGCGTGGCTGCTTCTCCTCATCCGAGCTTGGGATACTCCAAGCATCGCTATCCACAAGGACAGCAGTGCCTGCTCCAGAGGCAGCGGCTGCTGCTCCAGAGTCTGGTGCGTCTGGTGCGGTTTTGCCCTTGCCACGCTTCTTGTCAGTCTTCAGCTTTTTCACGGCCCATTCTTTCTCAGCCAAAGTTCTATGCACCTGGCCCCGAATGTCCTCGGACTTCACCGTGGTGAGCGGCGCTGTCCAAACCTCTCCAAAGACCTCAGAATACATCATCCCTCCCACACACAAAAAAAAAGTCCTTCGCCGCTAAAACGCATGAAGGCAAAAAATGAAAGACAAGTCACTGGGCAATTGCGGCTGTCCCCTTTCTCCTGGACCAGGCTGGTGTTGAAGCCACGCTTTTCCCAAACGCTCAGAGGAAGCCATTCGCAGCTGACTGTGGTCTTCGATTTCTCCGTGTGAAACTCCTCCAAGGAAGTACTGAGCTTGGAGCGCACCAACGACCAACGGGCATTCTTCGGAGCTACCTTGATCACGGAGTTAGCCTCTTGGAAAAAGGTCTTTTGTTTTCCGAAGACATGGCTTGCAGGTCTTCTGGCATCCCGCCCAGGTGGCGGTAAAGGATTTGGTACACGCAATTGCAAAGATTGCAGTGCAACCCACCTCCCTTGGCCACTGCCCCTGCCTTCAACGAACACGGCTGACCACATTTCAGGCAAGCCTCCATCTTGCCGTCCTGTTGAGACTCGGTCTCGGGTTGGGCGGACATGGTTATAGGCAAGCGCCGCTATATTGAAGCTTTGAGTTGTGGTCTGCGAGCCCAGATTTCTCTGGGTTACAAAATGCAAATGGAAGCCGAATCGGCGCCTTCGGCTGAGCTTTGGTTCTGCGACCCTGTGCCCAGCTATAGATACCCATAGATACCCGGAACAATTGTCTCTAGTTTCTGGTGGTTCAGTATAGATACCTATAGATACCCATAGATACCCATAGATATCCGGATACCTGCTGGGCTATAGAAGGTATAGATACCCTATAGATATCCGATAGATTAGATATCCGTTAGATACCCGGTACCTTCGGGACTATAGATACCCTATAAAGCTGAAACAAAAAGAGAGCTGATCACACTCACTGGCCGTGCCCCTGAACTCTGTGGCTGGGCTCTGTGTCCGGGTCTTGTCCTCCTCTTGT